ATCATGAGAAGCAACATGCTTCCAGGTAGCCTCATTTGATTGGTGTGCAATGTCACAGCGTCCGCCAAACTGAACATCCACGTCGATGCTGTACCTAGTGCTCCCCCAAACTAGCGCAGGTATACTCTGCAATCACTCCGCATATCATCAGAGGCTGTGGATCAACAAACAACCAATGGGTCTCCCAAATCTTTGAAAGGGCAAGAAAAAGGTTCAATCATTGGATTCTTAGACACCTTCGGCGCACAGCTGCCATGATGTAATCCATGGCAATACCTGGGCAATCTCGACCTGTGAAGAAGCTGTCCAAGTGCAAGCAACTCTTTGAAGCAGCTTCGCACTTCATCTGGGCCAAGAAGTTTCCTTCAGAGTGTTGTTGAAACCGTTCATGTATTTTTGAAGGTGACCATGGGTTTTGCGACATCAAAGGCTTGAAGTGGAAGCACAAAAGCAACACTTTGAACCACATCTATACATTGCCCAGACACTCAAATCGTAGCAGCAAATTCGGCGCCCAATTGAACAGCTGACCGAAGTTTTCCGGCGTGGGGAATCTTGGGACAAGCGTGCAAAACAGGCGCAGAACCCTTAGCCCAATGCTACGTGTAAACCATTTTAAACCAACCAAGAGATAACCATAAACAACAAAGATTCCAAAAAAGATCAAACAAGCCCAAGAGCGGCTCAGACATCCTGGCTTGGCTTGAAGGTCTTGCAGTAGAGGATGGTCAACGCCGTCATCATCAATGTCAACTAGCTTTCGTCGCTTCTTTCTTTTGCCTGACGGGGAACTGTGCAAACTGTCAAAACACAGGCGCAAACCGCTAATACGCATGTGGAACCCGTGGAAAAACACAACGTGAATCAATGGCCAGGCCTTCCTGTCAAACAGGGCTTACAGACTGCTCATCCATATCATCTTGGAATGGAACTGCCTGTGCAAGGGGTGGTTAAGAAAAACAAGTCGACGCTTCTGGTTTCATTTTTGCAACCTCCAACTTTGTGCGTGTAAAAGAAAAATCGTATTTAAGCCGCCCACGTCATCCGCAGGAGAGGGGTCAAGAAGGGAGCGCCGTACTCGCTGCTTCTTTGGCGCCATGCTTGAGACCACGCAACAGCTTTTTGCGCAAATGCTGAAGGACAAAACTGTCTCCACAACATCTCAAAGACGCAATGCATTTGCTTCGCTGTCCAATTATCTATCTATCTCAATCCAAAGATTTATTCTTGCAAAATCACCTGCGCACAGCAGCGCATCCTGATTTTTTTCACACTATCATGTGTCAACTGTGGTGTAGAAGGGCTAGGATGCATACTGCATTCAACACATCAACCAAACAGTGTTGATCAAGAATCTCTTTTGTCGTAGACAGTTCTTTTTTGTATACACTTACATCTTCTAGCCGTACACCATCTTCTCAAAAACCGTTGAATCCTATTTCACAAACATGACTTCAATGAAATGTATTGCAGGGTTCTGTTTCCTATAACCAAGGATGCAAGATATTCGTCCATTTTTGAAGTACTTGCGAGTACGTGGGATCAATTACATTGAAAGCTTCCGACCTCACCTTTCCTTGTGGCAGTGCATCAAAAAACGGAAAGCTTTCTGCGTAAAGCCGGGAGTCTGGGTCTGCTGGCATCCTGGCTTCATGGAAGCGATGCAGTCGCACCCGGATGTCACGCGGCCTGCGCATTGTAGAGGATTGCAAGTCCCCACGGGTCCTCACGCCACTTTGCCTCGAGAACCTCGAAGGCATCCATGTCCAATGCCTTCATATCTGAAGATGTAGAACGAATATCCTTGGAGCAGAACTGCGTTTATATAGTTGGTTTCGGGATCTGGTCAAACCAAAACACATGGCATGCCCGGACATGTTTGGAAGCCAGTTGGGTGGCAAAAAACATGATGAAATACAGGGAAAGTAATATTTCACAGGTTTGGGTATCAGTTCTGATTCAAGAGTTGTCAATGTACTTGTCATACATTTTCTTAAGCAGAAGGTGGCCCTCCTGGTCATAGACGTTCATGGGACCGAAGCTACTATGATCGAACTTCACATCTTCAAGGGAAGTGTTCTTTGGTGTCAACAAGTGCAAAGGAGCACGTCTCAATCTGCTTGTAGGGCATCTTCCACCGTATGGCCAAAATGTACCTTTGGACAGATGTCAGGGGCAGCGAAGGCTTCGGGGGGGTGTACTAGAAAACAATTACTTCTAACATGACTACTTAAAGGAAAGGTGCCCAAGGTCTCCTTCTGCCAATCCATCCGTGACAGTGCCAGAAAAACTTGGGGATCGACACTCTCTCCACTTTTCTGCATATGGTTGATGATGTTGTTCACAATGTCATTCTCGCAGTGCCGCTCATTGCGCGCATAGCGACGTCTCTTCATACTTCACAGTAATGATTAGCTATATACACATATATATGTTTGTGTGTGGTCATTCACTGCAAAACATTTCCTGTAAAACTGCTGGATGCCCTGGCAAAAACAGTAGGATGAGTTTGGTTCATCTTTCTCAAATTATGAGCCTGAAGGTTCTGTGGGGACGACATTTGTTCACCCACTGTACACAGCTTTCACTGTAAGGTCTTTGAACATTTGTTTGGCTCAGGTTTGCATTATACACACGCAAGGTGCCTTGGAGAAAAAGCACCTGTACTACAGCCAGCTAGGGCTTTGTTGCTTTCGCAAGCAAACTGCATGGTGGGCAATCAGAAAATGAACTTCGAGTTCCCCACCAACCAGAATAGAAATCAGGCCCTCTGGTACAGCCACCTTTTTTCATCCACAACATCTGCAGAACGGCAGCTCTTGCAAATGTTGGCGCAGAACGTGTTCAGCAAAGCAGCTTCAGCAGTCTTCGCAATAGCTGCAGCTGCCAAGACACATGCTGCGGGAGGACCGCAAAGCACCACCCCAAGCGCTATTTTGCTATGTCTGGGTCTTGGCAGCTGAGCATGTTATCCATTTCACTGACAGCTGATCATTCTAAATTGACAGCTGGATACCACGAGTTTAACTTCCAGGATGTTAAGCCATCAAACGTTGGTGCGATCTTCGAAGTCATCCTAAGTTGAGAGGTCTCGGAAACCTGTGCTGCATATGGATCCGGTCTTCGATTCCCTGGGGCTAGGCGGCATCTGGGCTTGTCGGCGCTCGATGATATGTAGCGCTACCCTCTGGAAAGTAGTCTGATTCATGGCCTCCTTCTGAGCTGTCACTATCGCTCATTGTGCGTCGGCTGTAGCTGCTCTAGTCGAACGAAGGCGAAGCGCGCCCGTTAGTTCGGGTGTCTGGAGCAAAGAGAGCTCCGCTACCACTTTGACAGTGGCAGCAAGTATGACACAGTATCCCTGGATCAGGCTTACAACCTAACAGTCTGCACAAGAGCGAGTGAGCGAAGGCAAACGAGCGGCTTTTCTGTCACGCAGTAAGTACCTTGAGCCAAACATTGTGGTCCGTCTATGCGTTGCGTAAGAGCATCAAAACAAAAACCGTATGAAGCAACAGCATACAAGGGAACCCAAAAACAGGAAACAGAGAGAGAGGGGAGGGGGAAGGAAAGAGAGAAAGCAGGGAAAGGAAGGAGACAAAGAAAGGAGAGGAAGTTGAAGAAGAAGAGGAAGGAACATAGATGTTTTTAGATCAAGAGGTAGTTAGAGAGATAAAGATGGAGAAAATGGAAAGGATATACAAATTTGAAAGATGGATGGTTACATAATTGGATAGACCGCCTCGCGCTACGCTCTTAGTAGAAAACAGTGTCCTTCTAATGGCCCGGGAGCGTGGAAGGAAAGGTTATGTAGAAGTAAGAGGTGTGTATAAATACATTTGAACTCTATAGTTGCATTTGTTGAACTCTATAGTTGCCTTTGCATGTACGCTACAAAGGCACAGGCATAGTGACTTACAACGCCAAGGGCATATACGCAATGTTCTGACGTTTGACGGCACCATCTGGCATTATTTGCCGGGTGAATATTCAGGATTCTATCTGGCGCGTAGCGGCCTTCTATCTAGCTAGCTTGCGTTCTAGCTGGCGACGTGCGGCGCATGCGTGTGGGAACCGGAAGTTGACCGTAATGTTTCTGCGCGGCCTGCAAAGTCAGCATCTGCCAACAACCCTATGGACGGTGCCTCTATTGGATCTCCTACCCAACCAATCATCCTTAGCGCAACTCATATTAATAGATGTAACTTGGCATCATCGTTGACTGTCCACTTGTTGATGTTTCGCGCAAGGTTATTGGTCGATCCTGGTAGGCGGGCTTGGTGGCGAAGTTGCAAGCCCCACCTGAACCGCAAATCCCGAGGACGAGCAACGCAATTCGCGTTTCACCTCATTTTTGGGCGCCAAACGCGCGCGATTCCCACAAAGGTTCAAGCGCCTCGTCCGTTTAAGGTTTAAGGAAGAAGGAATGAAAGAAGAGAGAAGATGCGAAGATGTGAAGAGAAAGATATTTCGACAACCCCGCATCAAGATAAGAACCCTTGGCTCAAACGTTCCAGGAAAGATCCCAACTACGCTCAGAACAAAGCACTGCAAAAATGAGCATCGCGCTCTTTGGCCTTGCCTCAGAATCCTTTACAGTGAAGAAACTTCCAGCTTTGCCACAGCTGCTCAACTGTTGCGTTCTGGGCTGCGAAACATGTTTCCAAGGCTTCAAGCATCCTGTTCTTGGAATGGGTCAGGACTTCCTCGTTGTGTGGTTTGCCGAAGCCTCGGGCAACTGTCACTGGCACTATAGAAACTGCTGCAATCCGATCCTGAGTCGATCCCCCGCCTGCGCTGATGAACCTCTCCACCAGCATGCCCATCTCATCAAACACAATGCCAAGTTGCTGGAGCAATTGGCCAAACAAACCCTCTTCCAAGGTTTTGGCCACAGCTCCTTGTAGCAACGCGTGTCCTTCAACAACCGAAGCTTTTTTGAGAACAACGCGCAACAACAGGGTTGGTTGCAGAAACGAGTTGTAGCAGGTTAAATCTCATCAGCCCTCACGGCGCGGCCGTCCCGCTGTCACTTCAGCAAATTGAAAGTCTTTTGAGACGTTCGGTCGCTGATGTATTTGCGTCCCCCATTCAGCGCAGCTACCAAACACGTTCGCGCCCCCCTGTCCTGAACCTTTGGCATCAGGCCTTGCGCATAATGTCTTCAATGGACTGCCATCCAGCTTCGCTGTGGCGTTGAACGTGGCGAGGTCAAGCCTGGCGAATCTCTTCAAAATCTCCGTGTCCAACACCTGAGCGTCAGCACGAGTGTGGAAGGTGCAAGATTTCTGCGGGTGGAAGAACCATTTGCAACATGCCGATATGAACGTGAAGCACTATCCTTGAGAGGCGCCTGTGACACTAGCGAACCAACTAATGGGTTCGTAGCTGACCAAACCCCTTGCAAGGTCTGATGAACCTTTGCATCTGCCCTAGCGAAGGTGGCGTATGCAGACTTCAAATCCAGGAAGGACATGGAGCACCTGCAAGGAAAATTGAGCTGTGCAAAAAACACTGCAAACTATTTCGCGGCGACGCCTTCGCTTATGTCAACATGAACCAACAGGAGGAAACGCCCTATTTCATCCAAACAGCCTTGCAACCGCACCAAATTTGCAAACGCACCGCTGGACATGTTCAACTGCTACAGGCGCAAACGTCAAGTCCTAAAAAAATATCCCGGCAAGAGACCCAAACAGTGTGCGAGGTCTAGACGCACAACGATCTAAGCACAGCCGCTTAACTACCACCGTAAGAACACCTAATGTGTGTCCACGCTGTTTCGGGAAACTTGAGCGGGGAAACACAAAAGGTAGAGACGGGTAGCTGTCGGGACCTTTTCTGGTGAGGGACTGTCTCCGGTGTTTCAGGAACGTTCCCCTTGGTCAGTCATGGATGAAACCAACAAGGCCAAAGAGCACAAGAAGGGTCAAGAGGAACACCGTTGCGATCAGATTGCGCCACCCGGCTCTGCAGAGAGGCTACGTTGCGTCGACGCTCGTTTGTGTAAAGGTGTGTGAAAACAGGCGCGCGTAAAAGTCGCAACGCGTAAACGCTCGCATGTTAACCAGCTATGGTCCCACAGCTACACGCACTGTGCCAGGATTACAGGCCTGCACGCGTTGCGTCGAAGCCGCCGGTACTGCCAGAGATGGACGTCACGCTATGGTGGGTGGCTGATGGGAAGGGTGCGTAATAGTAAATAGCTGTGTATAGTGGTGCTCCACGATGCGGTAAGATGTCGCCACGCGAGGGTATAAGGCTGAGTCGAATGGTGCGCGAATTTGCAGAGAGGGTTCGTGCTGTATTGCGCAACCTCATGGCCAGCGTTGTACTGCTGTGACTGCTACGCGCATGACTTCACCTTATTCACCTTTTATGGTGTGACGGTGTGTCCAGAATGCTAGTAGTGCTGGCGAGGGGAGGGGAGGGGAGAGGGGAGGGGAGGGGAGGGGGTGCAAAACAATTGATTTATCAATGAATCATCACATGGGAGGGGGGGTGGGGGTGTTAGACATTGATCTACCAATCTTTAGTCCCGAGCAGGCTCTCAACCCACTCCCTTTGCTTCGCAAAGCAAACTCAAGGTAGTCCTTACCAGGCTACCTTTTGTGATATTGACATCTGTGAGTTGCGGCGCCGTGCTGTAATAGCCCTCCACCAAGATGCAGCCGCGAACACTTTGCGCGATTCAATTTGCGCGAAACCGTTGTAAACAGAAGCGTGAACTAGGAACATCTTTTGGGATCAGCTAGAGGATCTGGAAGTAGAAAGTCTAGAGATCCATTGAGTGTGAGTGAGAATGAGAGTGAGGGTGGGTGAGTGAGTGTGGGTGTAAGTGCGAATGTGAGTGTGAGTGTGACCGAGAGTGAGTGTGAGTGGGATCTGAGAGCGCAAAAGAAAATGCTGCGCCCGCCACGAAATCTGCATGTCGAGTCGAGGTTCACAACACCGTGAAATCTGCACTTCGAGGTTCGCAAAGATTTGAAGTTCCTCCCTATAGATCAGCTGAGGTTAAAAATAACATCTGAGGTTATTCCCAAAAAATAACCTCAACCATTGAATAACCTCAAGTTCTTGAGGTTATTTTTGATGTTATTCTTTTAAGAATAACCTTGAGGTAATAACCTCAAAACCTTGATGTTATTTCTAAGAATAACCTCAAAACCATTGGAAATCTTTCTGAAAACTTGGAGGTTTCCAGTATGATTAACATCAAATAGTTTGTCAAATAGCTAACAAATATATCCAACCAGCCATCAATATTTCAGCAAAAGTTCCAAATCTTTACCAATAACTACAATATTTCAGCCGAAAACCCAAATGCTTACACATAACTGCAAAGGACAAGCCTGGGTTCCATGTATAACAACCACAGAATGTTTGCAACTTTCTTGTTTTCTATGTGTGGAAACCAAAAGGAAAAGGAACAATCGCAAAAAAAGGAAAGAGAAAAGGACGAGGAAAAGGAAAAGGAAAAGGATCAGGAAAAGTAAAATGAAGAGGAAAAGGAAAAACAAAAAAATAAACAACAAGGAAAAAGAAAAGGAAAAAGGGAGAGGGAGATGAAGAAAAACAAGGGAAAGGAAAAAAGGAAGAGGAAAAGGACAGGGAACATGTTTTTTGGGGGAGAAGGAAAGTGCGGGAACAAAATCTAAAGACTAAAACTGTGGGCATTTTTTTTGGTGAGGAAAGTTGAGGAAGCAAAATCTAATGACTAAAACTGTGGACAAAAGTTGTTTGGTGAGGAGAGTTGAGGAAACAACATCTGATGACTAAAGCTGTGGGCGCATATTTTTGGTGAGCAGAGTTCAGGAAACAAAATCTAATGACTAAAACCGGGGACAAAAGTTTTGGGTGAGAGAAAGAAAACAAAATCTAATGACTAAAACTGTGGACAATCTTTTTGCGCGGGAGCTCGGCTCCCATAATCTTGATTTCAACATTCCAGTCCGGACAACGATGGCAAATTTAGGCCGTTGCGTTTCCGCAAGGACATTGAGGTGGCCGTGCGTCTCACGACGAATCGTAGTGAGGCCACGCATTGCTTCCGTCATAACAAATTCTTTAAGCCAAACCTCGCGCAACATGACAGGATGTAAATTGCGAAGAACCTCGACTAGCTGCTCATAGTGCTCCTCGGAGCCGTCCTCCGCAAGCATCCTTGCTTGATAAACGGCTTCCGTTTCCGCTTCCGTTTCTGGAAAGCAGTTCACGGACAAGCGCCGTTCAATGGACTCGCCGCAGCGGTTCTCCCAATCAGTCTGAATCAGGTCGTCCTCATTGATGTCTTTGATCAAGTCGGCCATGGCTAGGCAATCCGTTTCCGGATGCAAGGTGGACGAGGAGCGACTGGGGAGAAGTTTGGAGCACCTAAGTTTAGTCTGAGGAGTGTGTGGTGAAGTGTGTGTGTGTGTGTGTGCGTCAACCCCTGTGCCTAAGGGTCTCTTTCTCGCGTTCTGTTTTCAGCAAGGGGATTTTCCAGCAGGGGGGCAGTGATCCCTTCAGCAGTCACTGCCTAACAAAGACACTGCTGATGGGATGTGATATTCGGAGAGGACGCTCTCTGAACGTACCTGCTGAGGTTTACGCGAGCTGTCACCCTACTTTTCCACGTTTTGATTCATGGTTCTTCACGCTACCACTACTACCCCAAAACCTTGGTCTCTGCAGCTGCACCGCGCCGCTCGTTTCGCCACCGCTGAGCTCTGCAGACACGAGAGAAACAACCGTTGTTCAAACACCGCGGTTTCTCATTCCACTTGGGAACTGATGTAACAGCAAACCAATGTCAGAGTGTGACTGGCTCAGTCGTCCCACTTCGGCGCTGGGTGTGATCCTCCGCAAGGAGGCGCCTTCTCATTCCGGAATTCGTGTAACTGCTTTCATCGCTCCCACCATACATTGGATTTTCTTAACGGATTTGGTTTCACTACTGAATTAACTGCTCACACGCCGCCGGGCTTCATGGAATACCCCTTGGATTCAACTCAATGCAATTTTCAGGATCGTTTCATTGATTTCACTTTCCATTTTTTGCAGCTTGCCTTTATTTTCAAGCAAGTATGCATCACGCACTCCACGACGATTGATTTTTGCTCAGATCAACCAAGTTTCACACCTTGTTCAATTTTCAGGACCTCATTCAACCCTATCCCAATAATCTCTCTTTCGCTTCCCTTTCCACCTTGATCCACAATCGTTACTTAACGACTCTTCCTATTTCAGCCGCAGCTCCTTTGTGCCATTTCAGCCGCTGTGATCCTTGGAAGCGTGCAGACGGACCCGCTTCAATGCATTTCCCATGGCCATACCCATATACACCACCTCCACCACAGCAATCTCCGCCACAACCAACTTACCCTTTACCTCACTCAGTACCAGCGACGCTTCCACATTTGCCACCCGACTTTTCCAGTCACTTACAATCTTGCCGGCCCTGAACCTATGACAGTCGCCACCACTTCTTCCTCACCACCTGCTGCATTGCCACCTCCCACAGTACAACATCCAGCCATGCAACATCCAGCCATACATCCTTCAGCCATCACACCTCCAGTCATGCAACATCCCACCATGGCCCCTCCGGCCATCTCACATCCGGCAGTACAACATCCCGCACCGGTTACCCTTGCTCCACACCATCCACCACAACTCTCCACCACTCTCTCATGGGACCCACAACAGGGCGTTTGGCAACAGCAGCCTTTCTCTGTTTTCCCAGCCACGGTCCAACCTGATAACGCCACGGGTCCTGACCAACCCTCCACACAAGAACTCTCCACCGCCTCAGCTGCTGCGACTCCAGCACCGACTACCACAACACCACCCGCATTACCCGCCATTGCGCCACCCGAACAACACAGGTGGCTTTGCAGGAGTGGATCGTACCTGCAATTGGCCCGCGGGCAGTTTGTCGCGAATGGACAACAATTTCAGTGCTGTGCCCCACTTTTCTGAGTTTGTGAAAGGCTTTGTAAATATATCAGCTGCTTGGAGGATGGTAGGGCCGTGAACTAACCGGTACCATTTCCGCCGGAACTGCTCCTCTAGCCAAGAGAGGTTGACTCTCTGGGTTTTATCGGTATGCCTAAAAGCTGGGGATTTGCCCGATTCAAGGATTCTGATCGTGGCTTGATTATCCTCAATGAAGACACCTTCGATAGATTTGGGAGCGAACAGCGTTAGGTCCAGGGATCCCTCACGTTCCATACCTAGGAATTCACAATCAGTTAGCGATTCACGGATCTCCTGTGACTCAACCTTGTAGTCAACATCATTTGGGCCATAAACACGAAACAAAGTTTTGCCCTTCCATTCCCCCCGGATAGGATAGTCACCCTTGGACTTCCAGTTGTCCTGCTTCAGATCAAGGTTTCCCTTGTCATCGATCATGAGGGTGGTTCTGGCTAATCCGAGTCGGTTGAACGATATGGGGCATGACTTCGAGTCGCTCGGCACGTATAAGTGAGATCTGGGTTTG